CGCCCCCCCCCCCCCCCCACCCCCTTAATTCTTTGTATATGTATCTTAGGTCTATCTAGATCTCACTAGAAAGATGCAAGTATTTGTAAACTTTATACTAGTACTTTTGGATGTTGAGATATTAGTATCACTTTTTTGGTTGATAACGATCCCATACATATCTACTAAAAATGGATATATTTGACAAATTATGAGAAACATCGATTTTGACTTTCAAGCAGCCAAGTGAACAAGAAAATTTATTTATCTTAAAATAGTGTTTTTTTTTTTCGTTGTGAATCAATAAAAAAGTTGTGCTAGTATGTGAAAAATGTTTTTTGAAAAAATGTTTTAAATTTTCTCATATTTGATTGACTTAAATGTTTAAGAAAATATGTTTAAATCAACTTATTTTTCTTAAATATAAGAAAAATGACATACCTCCAAAAAGTAAGGAAAACATTTTTCAAATCACTTTTTAAACCTAGCTTACAAGTCTTACACCTCAACTTTTCATCCTAACTCAAGTTTCGAGTAGTGATGTCTGATTCTCATCCGGATTCTGATTCCTGATTCTTGATTCGAAACTTTAATCCTAACCTTCATGCAAGACTCAAATTCCAAGTTTTGAATAGGATCGGATCGAGATGGGATCTCGATTTTGATGTGGGGTCTTGGGTCACGATTCAAGATCGAATTATGTATCGGATATCAGGGTCAAATCTTGAATCAAGTGTCGGGGAGGTGGTTCGAGTTGGGTGTCAGAGTCGTATTTTGGCTCGAGAGTCGAGGTTGAGGTCGAGGTCAGATATCGGGTTCGGATCTGAATAGGTCACCAAGGTAGGGTGTCATATTCCCATTTGGAAGTTGGGGTCACGTCTCGATTTGACGTCGGTTTCTAAATCCAGTGTCGGAGTCGGATCCTAATTTAAAAGTTGGGTCCCAATTTGGATGTCAGGGTCAGGTCTCAAATCAGTGGCCAGGATCATGTATCGGGGTTAGGTCCCAATTTGAAAGTCTGGGTCGGAATCGAGTTCCAATTCAAAATCAGATCCTGGATCGAGAATCGGGTTTGGGTGTCCGAGTCGGGTCTTAACCCGAAATTCGAGTCCTAAATCAAGTGTCGAAATCGAATCTCGAATTTGTCATCGAGATCGTATTTCAGTGTCAGGTTCGAATTTAAAGTTGAGTCTTGGATCGGGAGTCAAGATGGATCTTGGGTCGGGTCTCAAAATCACCTTTCCTCACAAAAATATGATGGAGACAGATTAATTCTCATTAAAATACTGCAACACTTATTACTTTTTTTTGTGCGAAAACTTTTTAAAATATTTTAGTTATAACCACTAAACATTTTTCAGTAAAAAAAATTCAATGTGAAAATAATGATTCATTTTATTCATATATTTGACACAAGAGTTCTTAACGCATTTCTTTAAGTTAGCCTATACGACTTATAAATGATTGACTGAGAGTATATTCGTCGATTTATTTGGACCTTTAGTACTCTTTGTTACTTTTTTTTTTTATCCTTTTTGAAAATATTAATAAATTATAAAATAATTTAACCAAACAAACTACTTCAATTAATTTCCATGTCTAATTCACGGGAAATAAAAGTAATCTAATAGATTAAATTCTTCTTTAAAAAAATCCCTTAGCTTTCAGTTTCAAATAATTTTCAAAGGTTTCCTTTTTCAGAACAAAAACAATTTTACCACGTTGGATATTTAATTAGTAAAGCTTAGTCAAATACAACGTGAACTATATTAAGAAAGTTATTGCTTATCAAATCAGAAAAATAATCATCAAGGAAAATAAGGGGGAAATATTTTAATTATGAAAACGACACAATAAAGAAAATAGAGAACAAGATAAATAAAAAGTAGGTAAAGAGTTATTTAGCATTTAGGTCGATCACCAAACCTAATTGGATCAAATTCCACATTGGCATCTTCAATTATTAGGTTATCAATTTGATTTTTAGTTTAATGATTTTTATTATATAAAAAATATTATTTTATTCTTTATTATATAACAGTGATTTTAATATTTTGTCAATCCTATTTTTTAAGTTTTAGTATTACTTTCTGTTTTAGGCAACACAAACTAGCATCACTTCCGCTCTATTGTAACACCTTTTCCCTTCTCGACATAAACTCGTATTATCTTTTCTCTTCTTAATTTTATGACAAAGATAGACATTTTTCCAATTTATTTCACGAGTCTTTAGAAGGAATTCAAGCAATTATGTCTTAAATAAAAGTTATCAATGTAGAAATTTGTGTTGGACTTCTATTCTTGCTACTATTTATATTTTTTTTTATGAATATCGTATATATCTGATCATATGAGCATTTTCTTTGGGTTAAATCGAAAATCCAATCGTTAAGGACTAAAAATCTTGCAAGAGGGCTTAGACAAGGAGACCCCATCTCTCCATACTTATTTGTTATATCTATGGAATACCTAAGTAGATGCCTTGCTGAAGCCAGAGAAGTTGAAGGGTTCAAGTTTCAGATTGAATATAACTCATTTATGTTTTGCAGATGACCTTTTACTTTTTAGTAGAGGGGATCAAAAATCTGTAAAGATCATATATAACAGTGCTTCCAAAAGTTTTCTCAAGCATCTGGACTGCAGGCAAACATGAATAAAAGCTCCATATATTTTGGTGGTGTCCCTGAGCATGTAAAACTGAATATACTCCAGCAGAGTGGCATTGGATGTGGTGAATTTCCTTTCAAGTATCTTGGTGTTCCTCTATCCACCAAGAAACAGACTATTATGCAGTGGTCACCACTAGTGAATAAAATTACTGCTAGAATCTCCTCCTGGACTGCTAAGAAACTTTCATATGCAGGAAGAATGCAATCTGTTCAATCTGTACTATTTGGTATTCAAGCCTACTGGTCTCAGCTCTTCATAATCCCTGCAAAAGTTCTTAAGCTTATTGAATCATATTGTAGAAGTTTCACTTGGTCAGGATCTAATACTATTAACAAGAGAGCATTGATAGCATGGGAAAAAGGTTGTCTGCCTAAATCAGTTGGAGGCATGAACCTCATTAACATCAGACTGTGGAACCAAGCTGCTATTGCCAAAATCTATTGGGATCTTGCTTACAAATCTGACAAGCTGTGGATTAAATGGATCCACTCATTTTACATAAAGACTCAATATTTCTTCACTGCACCTATTCCAAAGCAGGCTTCATGGATGGTCAAGAAGATACTTAATGTTAGACTGATTTTAGAGCAAACACAAAAGCAAAATGATCAGGTAACCATTGGCAGCCTTTACCTGAGTCTACTTGGAAACAGACCTAGACTACCCTGGAAATGTCTGATATTTGCCAACTCTGCAAGACCAAAGACCTTGTTACAATGTGGCTCCAGTTACAAAACAAGCTACCAACTAGTGATCGATTGGCTTCATGGGGATGAATATAAATCAACAATGCAAGTTGTGTCAAAATGGGCTTGAAACTAGAGATCACTTGTCTACTGTGAGTTTACAAGAGCTATTTGGAGGAAGTTGATGGCATGGATCAAATGGCCAGTCTATACTTTAGATGCTTGGAACACACACTTGAAATAGATCATAGAGAAAGCCAGAGGCAACACTCTGACTGCCCAACTTTTCAAACTAATGTATGCAGAATGTAGTCATGCTAAAGAGGTAGCTTATATGTGTTGTATGAGGGCTCATAAGGCCAATAGTTCTAGGTTGCAACAACTTAGCTTTATATGAAGTTGTATCTTCTTTGAGTTTTATTTTTTTTATTAACAAACTGTGATGTAGTTTGATATGTTCTGTAAATGTCAGTTGGTGGTTAGTGAATATACAATTAATTACCAAAAATAAAAATCGATTAACCAAAAATTGATAATAAAATATAGCCAGACTAGGACGCTAGGTTGTATAATGGTATTAATTTTCTCTAACTCTGATCAATTTAGAAACCTTTTTTTCATTGAGAATTCCTCTCCTTTTTTTGTTGTGAATTTTCTAACGACAAATACAGAATTTGTGGGTCCTTATCTATTCCATATCACGAGCCCCTAAAGAACCAGAGCAACTCAATGATCAAAAACCATAATTCATGAAAATAACTCAATGATCAAGAATTGCAAGTATTCCTTTATTTTAGTAGACTTTTGACCACTAATGTCCAATCGAGAAAGTTCACGGATATAATTAAGAACTCTAATTACCTTGTTAGGATTAAAGTTGTCCTCTTTGGTGGCATTAACATATAGGATTAAAGATTTTCTCTTTTATCGAGTGTCTATAAAAAAATAGTCTTTTTAGCTATCTATTCAGGACAGAGATAAAGTTGCGCATATAATTATCCTTTTCAAACTTTACTAATGGAATTACGCAAGCTATATTATTGTTGTTATTGTGACATGGGAAAAGATTTAAATAAATCATTGAACTCTGTGAAAAGGCTCATTTATGTCATCCGTTATAAAATTGGCTCATCTATGCCACTTTCGTTTGAGATAAGATTCATTCATGATATAGATGAGCCAAACTTTTAATGAATGACATAAACAAGTCTTTTCACAACGTTCGATGGCATATTTGAGAGTTTTTCCTTTTAAAAAATGATTTAATTAATGCTATGGTCGTATCATAATTGACCACGTGTAGAAAATGGTTTTGCAAAATTGAAATTATTTTCAGTTAACAAATAATGACATGGATGAACATTTTCTCATACATAAATGATATAGATGAACCAAATTTTTAACAGATGGCATAGATAAACCTTTTTTCAAAGATCGATCACCTATTTGAGCATTTTAATTCCTTTGTGACATTGACTCATTATTCTCCTAAAATCTTGTCACTCAAGGGAATGCGAGAATGAAAGGTGTCAATATCTTTGTTTTCTTCCCTCATCAATCAACATGAGAAAACCTGCACTTTTTGAGCAAATTAGAAAAGATTAAACCTCAATAATGTAGAGCAAATGGAGCCCATTAAGGTGTTTATTGGTTGTTGAAAAATAAAAAAATAAAAAAGAGCCTGGCATTACCCCCCCCCCCCCCCCCCCCCGCCCTAAAATTTTGGACGTTAGTATTTAATTTCCACAATATAATTATTATCAAAGTAAGTTAAAAGGTTTTTATATTCAACGGATAAGAGTGATTTTCCTACCAGGTTGCAATAAGTGAGTTAAATCATAATCTAAAATGAAAATTGAAGAGACCAAAATGAGAAAAATGGGACAAGAATAAGGAACTATCGACACATATATAATTGAGACTTTTACATTTTATGTCACTTGACTCAAATTTATAATTAAAAAAAGTTTATTTTTTCATTTTTAAAAATATTTTATTTGACTTGTTTTTGTATATAATTTGAAATTTAAGAGAAAAGAAATAATTCCTTAATTTATGATTATGATTTTTCATTTTTTTAATACTTAAAAACTGATTGAGAATGATATTCATGTTTATCACCACACGTTTAAATATTATTTTTAGTGTAATTTTGTAGTCAAAATTCATAGGAGACGAAAATCCATTTTGTATAATTTTATACAATAGTGTAAAAAGTGAGTATAAACACATTTTCTACATTTTATATAAGTTGTTTAACGCGTTCTAACTAGTGACGTAAATAGTGATGGAAGTGATTAGAAGAGAGAAAGAGAAAAAGAGCAAGGAGGAAACAAAATAATTAAAACTCAATTAATGGGAAGTCAATTTGCCTTAGAAGTTTGAACTACGCGCAACAATCAAATTTATCTTGAGATAATATCTCAGATGGTCACTCAACTTTGAATAGTTCACTTAGAAAGTCACTCAATTTTACATTGCTTACTTAGAAAGTCACTCAATTTTATTTTTTAACTCAAAAGTCATTCAACTATTGATGTTTCACTTAGAAAGTCACCCAACTATTTGTATTTCACTTAGAAAGTCACTTAATTAATTTAAATTATTTTAAATTATTTTTTCATTAAATTTTATAAAAATACAAAAAAAAATTATTTAAAAAAATAAATAAGATGCTTATTTTAATTATTGTTTTTACTACCTTTTCATTAAAAAAAATAGTAGAAGATCTAAATGACTTTTGAGTTATAAAACAAAGTTGAGTGACTTTCTAAGTAAACAACTCAAAGTTGAGTGATCATTTGAGATATTAACTTTCAAATTTGTCTCTAAACTATGTGGTATATTCAAATATTATTTTTAATTGTGCAATATGTGGCATTATTGGATACTAAGTTTTCACCATATAGAAATAAGACACATTTTTTTTCATTTCAACATAGTTCAGAAATAATTTTGATCCCACCTAATAACGACAAAAGCATATTTAAACTAATAACAAAACGTAAATTTCAAATAATATGTTTTAAAAAATAAACATAATGAAATTAGAAACTTCAAATATTTTAAAGCAAATGGAGCCCGCAACATATTTTAGGGTGTGCAAATAAAACAAAAAGAGTGATAATTTCAAATGTGAAAAGATTTGTATAATTCCTAATTTTGGAGTTAACCAATTTGTTGAATTTTATCCTTTGTAAATAAAATAGTGAATTTAGCAACTAGAACATTGTATATTTAACTATATTCCAAGCTTTTATAGCAAGAAAATACATACATACAATACAATAAATGAATGAAAAGTTGGTACAATTTCCTTGAATTAGAAAAATATTGAAGATTTATATTTCTTGTTGTAGTATTAGATTGACCCACATAACAATTAGGTACATAATAAGTTAATAACAATGCATATCCAATAGGATAATATTAATAAGATTTTATTATCTCTTATTCAGCCACCTTACTTTATTTTTTACTCAGTATAAAAAAAATTATAAAGTACAGAGACCTCAATAATTTGGTCGCTAATTACATCTTATCCCAAAGTTTTTCAAAATTACAATAATTTCAGATTTTCAGAACTCGCGAATACATTTCTTCTTCGTCCTATACATAGCAAATGATACATGAGTTATGTATCAGATACATAACTATAAACCAGATTCATATTGATTTAAGTTTGAAATAATTGGGATTATGTATCAACAATACATTATACACAAATAAAGTTGTAATGTAACTAATACAGGTGGAGTGATATATTCTGATGTTAAGAGAGAGAAGGCTATATGTGATTTTTGTAATTAATTCAAATTGTAGGGATTTTTAGAGTTTATGTTATCTTAAGTCATGTAATTATTTAATGATATATTTTTATAATTAGTAATAATTTAACTTAAAAAATTTATTGTATCCTTAATAAGATGATTTATAGTCACACAAACATCTATAACTTAGAAGTCTTAGATCACAAATTTCAAAAATATTATTTTCTTTCTTAAATTTCATGTCCAATAAAAAATCATAAATCCGGACAAATGGAATGATTATTTAATTTATTTAGTCTTTTTGTCATATTTTTTCATGAAAAAAGAACCATTTCCTTTTTTAAGTGAGATTCTGGAAGAAATCAATTGTAATTAGGATTCCTGGAAATAAATAATTTTAAATAATCAAGAAAAGTGGCTGGTCAATTCCCCCTAATTATAATTTTAATAATAGTAGTTACAACTTGCAATATATGACTTCTTTATGTTTTCCTGAAATTGCGCAGAAGGGCATTAAATAGAAATAGTAGAAGAAGATTATCTGAGTCTATGACAACGTGTAACACATTTATCTCACGTGATTTTTATACATTTTAAAGATTAATAAATTATACATATACCCACTTTTTTGATACTATATTTCTTTTGTTATCTATTTTGTTAAGTAAAGTGAAACTGATTTTTGAAAAAAAAAAATTAGATGACTTTGATGGGTAATTATCCAAAATTCTTTTGTTTGATTTTATGATAGCACATTGAGATCGTCTGCACAGACACATGGAGATCATTTGTATCGGTATATGGACCTCGCGAGTCCTTCTTGGGTCATGAGCTCTCGATGTATTTTCGAGAAGTATTGTGTATATACAATTGAGAGAGTACTTGATATTTGAGGCATATCATTGCATGGTGTCGAATTGATTCTCAATACATCCTTCATTCTTATTTGATTTGTGTTTCATTGATGTTTTGACATTATGTAATATTTGATTGTCCCTATTTGGTGAAACTTGATTGATATGTATAATGTAGACTTGTAAAAATTAACGAATGATTTCTTATATACTTCTATCACTACGTTTCTTCATTGACTCTCAATGAGACATACTGACTACACGTGGTTTTGTACTCATACTACACTTGTTGCACTCTTTTATAGTGTAGATTGAATTTCAAATATGAGCGCATCTCATGGAGCTTTCTTGGTTTGAGCTTGAGTTATCTTAGAGTTGTGGTTAGCTACTTGGCTATTCTGTGGCCCATACCTTCTCTATGTCTTTATTTATTCTATTGCTTTAGTATTCCGAAAGGATATTTCTTATGTCTAGACTAGTTACTTTAGTCTCAGACTTGCATCATA